TTTAAACATTGTTAATCTTTAACTTGCCCTTTAACATTCATCTTTAGACCTATATTAGTATTTATCATTCTATGTAATCTCTTTCTTCTATCTATTCTAAAAATCATCTACGTAATCATTAAATAATATATTTGCAAACATACTTTCGCATCATATGTCTCTATTGGACAACCTGCAAAATATCCACTGCAAAAACGTCAAGTGTGCTTGAAAATCTAGCTACTGGTAGACATCGATGTAATACTTTTTGTATTTATTTGTCTACAATACGTAACACATCACGCCATTAGGTGCTTCCCAAACAAGAGAAATCAAAATCCATTTCCACTGATATATTTATTATTTTGAAATGGATTTTATTAATATTATCACAATGACTATTTTTATATTATTATGTTTTCGGCATACTCACGTAATTATTTGACGAGGAACTCGACTATGCGCTGCTACTAGCGCGATAGTCGCCGCGTCGCGGGTCGCGAAATGCTGCTCATGAATATGAGCCTCTAGCATGGCTTGAAACTAGTCGAGTTCCTCGTCAAATAATTACGTGAGTAAGCCGAAAACATAATAATATATTTAGTATGTCTCACGAAAGTTATAATACAATTATTAATTTATTCATATTATCGCTATGTTATCACAAAACATTTTGCTCAACGAAAGGACAAAACTCGTCTTGTCAGTCCCTTTGCAAAGCAATAAAACGCAAAACAATCTTAATAGAAATGTCTTAAACCCCTCTCTATTATACGAAACATCATTGAGATTACAATTTCATAATAACTGGAACCAGTTGTAAGCACTTAGCTCCAACCGGTCGACCACGTGCGACGTACATAGTTCTAACTACAACTAACTATGTTAAACACACAACTAATTGTCTAACAACTCTCACTCAAAGCATTCTGAAAAGTGAATTTATTAGGAAATGTACTGCAGTTGATGTTTCACTTAAAGAACTTTGAAGTGTAGCTATAATTAAAGCTAGGCTAGCTATAGCTGGTAAAAGACGACGATTTATTATAACACTATGTTCTTCTCTTAAATTAATATCTCACATATCTAGAAATAAATAGTGAAGTGGCCTTTAAAGGCAATCCTTAATCAAGGACTATATCAGAATAATACGACGTGTTCAACGGTGCATTAAACTGCTGCTGGCAACCGTACTAAGTCTTTGACCTTTAAATAACAATATAAACGGAGCACGATAAATAGCTAAGTGTTTAAATACACAGCAATTATTAAAGGCCAACTAGCAGAAGATATCTACTTAACATATTATTTATATAAAAAATACCTCGTAAGAAAAACCAGTAAGTACTAGTCGCACTAAAAGGTTTATAAATGCGTACATCTTGAGGTTAAGGTCCTAAGTGTTGAGTTGGTTGTTCATTATTTTTTAATGGAACCACTACTAGACTAAATATTCTGCAAGCCGGTTCAGTAGCGAATAATTACTGACTGGTATAAATACTGAACCACAATGTGCTCCAGAGACGTATTTAACTGCTTTGAATCCCACAATCAAATCAATGAGAAAATGACATCGTTGGAGAAACAGAGAAAATCGATCGTGATATGTTATTTTGTAAACACTGCTACCTCGATGTTTGAGTGGTAACTCAGTAATATCGTAGTCCCATTACATTCAACAACTTCTACAGTATAGTAGGTAATACGAGCTATGAAATTAACCTTTACCTTGTTTTACAATGCGTGAAGCGTAAATGCGTACCATTGATAGGAAACTGTCAGCTCCAATATCAATAGACATTGCAAGTGCATTACCGACCATATTCTGTGACACTGTTTGATTGTCCTATCATTGCCTACCTACGGTTTCTGCTAATTACACACCTATAGGTTTTGCATTATATTCTTGTTCCATGAAAAATGAAACTTATAGTCATACTAATATAGGGGTAAGTTCAATGGCATTGGTAGAAGGTCTATTTATAATGTATCTAGGAACAGGACACTTCAAACTGTCTTGTATGTGTATAAAGCAAATGTGTAGTGCTTATACACTTAGTAAACCGACCGTTTACACTTGTTTATCTTATACATCATTATTTACTATTTACTGATACTTAGCTTCCGTGATATGTTTTAATTATGCGGCGCTTAACGCCCTGGGTTTTAGTAGACGGATTAACTTTTTATAGGTTTGAGAATAGGCGGTTACAATTCCCTAGAGATGTGCAGAGAGATGATACACGTAATTTTAAGTTAATTATTTCATTATTCGTGTGGAACTAGTATTTTGTGTTCACGTATGTTATAGAAGTTATGTCAGGCATACAATACATTTACAAACATCCTGTAAGTATTCAAATAATTAGGTAGACTTTTTGCACACCACAAAATTGAATATGACAGCGGACTACACTCAAAGTATGTTATGACATTTGAAAAGAAAACGGCAAATTGCCCACAATTACCGAAACTCGAGGACAAATTGTGTGACGTAAGTTATGTAGAAGGTATAATTTAATTCAGTACGACTGTTGTGGTAGAATTTTAGTATAATATAGTATGTACAGGAGTAGGTATTGTTGTATTGCCACATTGAACGCGGAAAGCGCTTAAGCCTCCGTTGGGAAATATTTGCCACGTCTTCACGACAAGAGATATTACAAAATTAATCTCATGTATGTTAGTCAACTGTAGGTATATTAACACATTAGATACAATATGCTAGATAATTCCCCAATATATCCCCAGAGGAATCCAGACGTATTCTCTGTGCCCAGTCACTCAGCACTTAAATATTGAAAAGAACGTTCATTATCATTATCATCAACAGCCTATAAATGCCCACTGCTGAGCAAAGCCTCTTCTCACACGGAGAAGGTTTGAGCGTTAATCACCACGCTTGCTCAATGCGGGTTAGCGATTACAAACTTATAATTAGAAATTATAAGCAAGGCAGGTTTCCTCATGATGTTTTCCTTCACCGTTTGTCAGCGATGTGTAGATAATCTTAGAAAGTACATATAACTCGGAAAAAGTCGCATTGGTATTTGCCGTTGGTAGGTTCTTAAAACTCCGGGCCACCAAGACATGAAGAACGTTGATTACATGAAAAAATTACATATGCATACGCAATAACTAGGTAGAAATATGTATAGTTGTGGTAATTTGTCCGTATTCTGGTCCAAAGGTGGTTTAACGCAATCTGACGATAATTTTTGATGCAACGCTTCCCCCAACCTTTCATTGACATTTACTTAGATTATAGACAAAAGGCAAGTCGGGAAATGTTATAATATTGTTTAGTAATACATAACTGATGTGATGTTATGTAGCATCCAATGTAATTAGTGTTTAAATGTCACGGACCACGGACACTTGATGATATGAATGCAAACAGCGCAACTTGGCTTGTGACGTAAAAATGCTTGCACTCCTTCATTTAAACTGTCAAACACCAAACGGTCACCGGTGACCGCGACCTATTGTTCTTTAATTGTGTCTATAAAACCGGTACTCGACGAGTTAATCATGATTTTGATTGTTGATATTTCTTTTATTATATGGATACTAAGTAGAGTTTAATGAAATAAATATGAATGTAAGGGAAATATTTCTCGAGAAAGAGGTCTAATATAGGTATGAGAATTTTCCTTCATCCAAAATATTTTCAAGAACTTTTAATTATATTTATCTATATAAAGTACGGAAGCCATATATAATACATTATTGACAAATATACGAACAGTACCTAAGTAAGTACGATATTTATTCGTTAACTTGAGCTAACAACAATTTTGTTTGTCATCGTATAATTTAGTGTGATTTAAGTGTCGAAGTGAAATAAGTGTTCTTTACCAAAAACAAGATGGTGGCTGCACATCATTGAACTTTGAACTGTTAATATTAATGTCCTCTCGATATCTGAGTTTAAGTTTCAAAGTAATAAAAGAAACATATAGCCTTCTAAAAGATTAATAGCTTGGCATTTTTGGAGGAATAATATATTCAAGTTGAAGAAATAATGATGAAGCTTTTTACTGCGAAATGCCTCAAGCTGTTGCAAACTTAGAAAGAAAGTACCTAGTGTTAAAGTTACTAGTCAATTACCTACCTAGTGAATTACTTAGTAAATAGTTTCAAAAGATAATATAACATACATAGTACTGGTCTGGACGCCGTATCTCGGGACCAGACAGAGGGCTGGTCTGTTCCTTGGTCAGTGGTTAAGCATTGCCATACAAAACGTAGCAATGCTGCCAGCCTGCTGAGTGCTTTCTCAGCTGGGATTTTTAGACGCTCTTTGTAAGTAGTTATTTTTAGTTTTCTTTTATATTCTTTGTAAGGAGTTTTTAAGTTTTATAGTTTTATAAATGTCACACTTAGGTGGGGAAAATTACACACCATTTACCTACTGCAATACATCTTCACGGTAGCTAAGAAATCATTAGGTGTGGAAATATAAAGTAATGTGTGGACAGATGTTGCAATTGTAACATTTCTCACTCTGTATGTAATATGTCGGTGATTATATTATAGAAACCCATATAAACACCATGCACTGTGCAATTGTAACAATCAGTTGTATGGCGATTGTTTTACTCGATTTCACACTTCATTTTTTTGCTATAGAAAATTATTGTCGTCTTAGCTTTATGGGTAGTATTACGGTACACACCATAATACCTCTATAATGTAATTTCGTCTGAATTCTCGCCATAGATAGTCCTTTCTCATATATTGATTTAAAAAATAAAATTGCTTATACGGACTCCATAATATTAATAGAATTCACGATAGAATTCCCAAAAACACACCAAAATGCTTTGATTAGTTTCACAGCCAGCCAGTGTTATAAAATACTGACTTTACAAAGTCATCTTCAAAGCCTAAGAGAAGACTTTATTATAATTACGCGATTGAAATTTGTAAATGTGTCACTGTATAACTAATATAATAAAATGATGACTTGTACGTGTGTTGCACTAATGTACAACAGTAATTAGTAATTTAGTACTGACCTTGTTTGTTGATGTCCCATAACACGACGGTGCAGCCGAGGCGAGCCAGTCTTAGAGCAATAAGGCTCCCCAGACCGCCACCGCCGCCCGTCACCACAGCAATAGCACCCTTAAGGTCTTTTTTCGGTCGGCCAACAATACTCAAGTAAACAGCCTTTATCACGTAACCAATGCCGACGATGACAAACATTATAATGTCTATAATCGCTTGCACGACGGTGTATTTATCCCTCATACATTCCGGGATCTCCCTCGTTAGAGGTCCCGGCCTCATGCCATTCACATATTCTTGTGTTTCGACAGACATCTTTGTTTTGCTTTTTGTTTATTTATTTGTTTGTATATTTAACCACTGAACATTACTTTTCACTGATTGTTTTGTAACACTTCACTTGTTTCCGTACCTGTAACAAAAAAAAAAGAAATGTTAATTAAAGACTCGTTAAATCAACATATATGTTTAATATTGATACTGAAAGTAGAGATTTATATTTTTAAAAATGTCTAGTCTAGTCTACCTACGTATCACAGGTCATGAGATACAATTACCTACTAACAGATGGACAGACAGACTGTAGACTCTTAGTAACAGAGTCTCATCTTCTTAATTCTTAACCTTTTAGATACGAAACCCTAAAACAGTCCTACACATGACACATGACCCCGAGGCCCCAAGCCTTGAAAAATAAAATACATAATATATCACTACTATACACATAACAAATCTTCCTTGAGTGTAAATATCACACTTTATATGCAATTGAGGTAAACTTTAGTTATTAGTTTTGTATCTCGAATGCAGATTAGTTATCATTCATTGTAAGTATGGTCATAAACGTAATGAGCTCATGGTAACATGTAGCTGTACCTAACGTAATTACAAGATCCAATCAACTTTGAGTAGTTTACCTATGTAAATCATGGATTTGTATTATTATTTTTTTTATTTAAACCACTTTATGTATAATATATAGGTACAAGGTACCACTTTAAGTACATTATATAGTGGCGGACTTAATGCCAGATGGCGTTCTCTACCAGCCAACCGCAGGCTGATGCAGAGAAGTGTTATAGTAGGTTTTAAAAGTGAATAACAATTTAACGTATGTATTATCTATGTTGGCATCACTAGACAAAACTTATCCATTTTAAGTAACACAGCTCTATGTGTACTGGATGTGGTATAATTAAATCATCTAAGCGTACGTTGGTATTTTTGTATATACCGTGAAATCTATTTGGTTTTCGTCCCGGTATAAAATGGTCTTGTCTTGGTAATACAACAGTTTTACAAAATTTACGGCAAAAAAATTAAATCTTATTTTTTTTGTTTTTACTTTATACATCGAAAGTATGGTAAGTTTTTTTGCAGCAGAACGAAAATGAGGTAAATTTCACGGTGTGTGTACTTTCCGAATGTTATATTTCTGGAACTATAAAAAATTATATATTATTTGCTAATTAGTATTTTGTTCAATAAAGCATGTAAGCATTAAAAAAAGATGTGTTTTTTACAAATATATTAATTTACGAACAAAAAGTATTGTCCATTACTTCGAATATATAATAAATTATAAGTAAAAAAACAGGCTTAATATATCTGTGAGCCACCTACCTATACCTACTTACCTATGTAAAAGGACACCAATAGCGGAAATGAGCTAATAATAATAATAATTTATATTAATTAATCAGGAACGTCATTGAAATCACAAAAATATATTGGTCAAACAATATTAGGCATCGGGCAATATTTGAGAACATAGATTTTAGAAATCTGCAAATCTAGGTATGCACACTTAACATTAAATATTGATTTACTAGGAATCCCCTAAATTAAATATTAAACTGTCAAACACCAAGCGGTCACCGGTGACCGCGACCTATTGTTCTTTAATTGTGTCTATAAAACCGGTACTCGACGAGTTAATATTAGTTTTAAATATTAATCTAAGTATTTGCAGTCTAGAAAAATTGCCTTGAATATCTAAATTAGGTAAGTTTAAATAGGTAAACTCTAATCTAAGTAATCAATAGGTAATTCGGGCCTTCCTTCGAATAATATTCGTAAATACTAAGTAAGAGGAAATATACATCGTAAATTGATTTGATTAACAAAAATAATTTTTCGAAATCAAAGTATTACGTAGTAAAACTTGGCTACATACAACTAATTAAATCTGATACTGTGTAAAGTAGTGTTAACGAGCGAAAATTAATAATTATACATATAAAACTACAAACATTTGTCGTCAAAGTGCCTGTAACTTAATTCTTAATTTAAAAAAATCAATAAAAATATTTTTAAATGCCATCCAAATATGTTTTTATAATAACTATCGTGAGACATACTAAATGACCTAAAAATCGCAGGTTACTTACTATAAAAGCTCTACTAGTTTTGACCCACAGGGGGTTCTTCCTCATGAGCAGCGTGCGCGGTAGCAGGCAGGCAGTAGGCTGCGCGTCATCGCCGCGACCGAAACGAGTAGAGCTTGTCTAAGTATATTTTTATGAGTAACCCGCGATTTTTAGTTAACCATCTAAACAGATAATTTTCCACTTTTTGGTTTTTTTTTCATATTTTTGGTGGGATAAAGTCATCCAATGACTTCTCCCGTCCGGGCGAGAGGGAGTGTCAGACTCTTACTGACTAACCACCACCCCGTTCGTAGGAACGATCGAAGTGCATAAGTAGTCCTGAACTCCGAACCGGAGCCCTGACTCGTTAAGTCCTTCGCGGTTCCGATTTTTTTCCACATTAATTTCCCGATTGACAAAGCTTTTTTCAAAATGTTTACAGCCTGCCTATTTTAAGCCGACAGACAACTTATTTATTAGTTACTTAGGTATTACTTATTTATACTTATGTTGCCATATATAAATTCATCGATTAGGTATATCGTCAGATACCTACTGAATACTTATTTAGTTTGAAAAACATAAACTATTTTAACTGTTAGCTTTGTAAATTATGTAATAGTTTTAACTTTCTTATTTATATTTTTTTAAATACTGTATATTTTCTTGTATATAAACAAACAACAATGAATATTAACAATCTTAATAATTTGTCAAAGTTCACCTATAGTTCATAGTTGTGGACTTAAATGTTAGTTCTAAATTTAAATGATATAATAAATTTAGTGGTTATTATAACTGTTTTGGGAAATACTAACGATTGTTTAACAGTGTTTGATTTTTAAATTGAATAATAGTTTTTAAGAAAATATGGCACTTTTTCAAACGACGAGTGAGTTTCGAGGATTGATGTACATTTTATACGTAACTGCCTAAATACGTATATGGGGCCAGTTAGATTTTGGGAGAGTCCCAGTAATGCCAGCAGATAATAGGAGTCTCTTTGTACATCCGATAGCGTATAAATCCCCCCCCCCCCAATGTCACAAATACTATAAAAATAAAGTTCAAACTTCTATAATAAATTACTTAGATGTAAAAGAGCCTGAATTTTAGCCATAATTCTCTTAACGATTAAGTATAATTGCTTATTAAGGTATGTCATATAAAACTTATAATTATGTTACATATCCCTATCCGAGATATGTTTTTGAAATATTATGGGAGTAGATGGCGCTGGTCTCACACATTGGCGGGTTTCGCAAGCGCAGCCGGTGAATGCAACCATTGCACAAACTACTCCGGCGCACCGCACACTGTTCGTGTGAAGGTCGCCCATAATACTATCAATGGCTTCAATTTACTCTTGGGCAGATTTTATATACACAATAATTGTCATGGTCAAGCAATTTGTGAATAACGAACTTACTTTTACCAAGTAATGCGACGTGAACGAACCTTTTTGCGTGTGTTTGCTTATTTAAGTGCAGCTTGAAATTTCCTCCTTTGTGACGTGTGCAAGTAAGTTTATACATACAGGTATCATGTACATATTTGGACATCATTTTGGTTTTCCGGGGTCGAAGTCGTGATACCTACCTACGTGGAAAATCAATTTGTCATCGAAAGGTTTTTTGAGTAGGTAATACAACAAAAGGCGTTTTCAAAGGCAGAAGTGTATACCTCCCTATCATTGATTTATTGGGGAAACAACTTAATTACCATATAACCAAAATATTTTGGATCGATCTAAGTTTTTTGGAAGATAATCCAAAACAACTAATGTCAAAAAGCATTCTTATCTAAAGATTTTTGATTAAGACCAGTTATTAATTTTATGGGGAAATCGATACACGGTACAAGTCCGTGTATCGATTCGATCGATTTGAAAATCTTAAAGAGACGATTTTTAAACAACAAAATTAGACAACTCAATTACACACAAACATAAATGCAAAACGCACGGTGTACTGACTTTTAACAATTTTAGAAATCGTTGATGTAATAACATTTATATTTTTTTCTCTCCGCTAGTGTGATTTTTACCACAGTGCAGTGAAAGTTCGCACATTCTATAGGTACTTATGCCATCATAAAAAACATTATTCACTATTTTGACAAATGTGCACTTGTCAATTCCAGTCAAAATTTATATCCTTGACAACACCCAGTATTAATATTCTAACAAGACATAAAATAAAATACGATAAATAAATGCTTATTATATATTATTTATCTAAGTAGGTATTTTTTATGGGGGGAAAATCATCGAATGTGTGCTTCCGCCTGGGTGAGGCGAGAGGGAGTGTCAGACTCTTACTGACTAAAGACCACCCCGTTCCTTCTGCTGCACGTTGAGCCGGAGCCCCGGTAACCCGTTAAGTCGCAAATCTCACATAATACATATAAATATGATACAACTTGAGTTTTTCAGAATTTGCGAAAATGTACTTACTTATTTTTTGTTTGTTCTTGTACCTAACAGACTCAAAATTTCATCTAAGTACGATAGGTTAATAAAATGAATTATCGGGGCGAAACAATTTTAAATTTATTCTTCCCAGTAATAATCCGAATGAAGAATAAAGAAAGAATGAACAGCTAGATTCTACGTACTTTGACATAGCATAATGCACACATTCAGAACTAAATGTTTCATATAAGTACTTACCTAATGAAATTTAAAACTTTTAGTTTAAATTAAAATTAATTCATGACTAAATCATAAGTATATTTAAGATTACAAGTACATACCTGTAGTAAGTAATAAGTTTCTGATGATAATTAATAATAAAATAAATTAACAAGGATAGGTACGTGTTAAAACTTTTAAACCTCTTGATTGACTGAAGTGATACCGAGTTATATGTAGGCATTTAAGCGACGATTAGTAGAGATATCTCTAATGGCAGCTAATTATGAACTTCCAATTCTTTTTTTAAACGC